TACACTCCTAATCTGTATAAGGGAGTAGGAACAGGGGATCGAAGCCCCTATGGCTCTGACAGGCCTTGCCCTTTTGTGTTTTTCCTGAGACCTGCTCCTGCCTGGAAGCCTCCCATGGGCGGGGATAGATCTGAGGTGCCTAGGTGGAAGCAGCAAGGTTGGTGCCCTGTGTACTGAGGGACGTGGTGATCACAGTCAGATTAGGGAGGCCTGGGGAAGGAATGGGAAACCCACTGTGTAAACTGAAGGGGTGTGCCAGTGGGAGAAGTGATTTTTTATGCTACTGAGATGCTAGTGACTGATGAAAGTAAAATATGGCTCTGAGGTAAAACTCAGCTTATTCTGCTTTGGAGTCAGGCAGACTTTGGTTCTAATTTTTCATCAGTCATTAACTCTCTGGTCTAGCATTTCCCATCTTAATACCAACCCACTCACCCCCTTTCCATCTTAACCCCACACTCCCCTCTGGCTGCCGCTCCCTGAAAGGGTCGTCTGCAGTCCCTTCCACCCCCTCTGCCCTGCAGCCTGGACAGTTGCCCCTCCACTCCACAAGGGCTGCTCTAGACAAGATCTCCCATCACGTCCTGTGGCCACGTCCAGCAGTCCCTTGTGGCTTCTCTGTCCTTATCTTTTGTGGTGTCTCAGCGGCCTGCAGCTCGGTTTACCACTCCCTTTTACTTGAAATGCTTTCTTCTCTTGGCTTCCCCGACAGGCATCGCCAGATAAAAACTTCTGGGTTTTTATCTCACCCCTTGGCCTCCTTCTCAGTCTCCGTTTCTGGCTCCAACTCTTTCTCTCAACCTTTAAATGGTGCAGTGTCCCAAGACCCTCTATAGTTTTGTCTTGGTCTGCATTCTTCTCTGGGTGACAGCACTGAGTCCCACAGCTGAGAAGCATTGTCCTGGTGGAGGTAACTCTTGGTCACCATCTGCAGCCCGTGCGCCCACTGCTAATGGCAGGCCTCTGGCGTGTTGGAGGGCATCTCAGACTCATCAAAAATAGAATTTTGATTTTTTTCCCTCCAGCCACAGTGGATAATTCTGTACTCAAACGTGCCAAACCCATCTGCAATGCTGGGGCTGCTGCATTGTGGTTCCCTCCACCTGGAAATTTCTTCTCCCTGATACTCGCTTATCAGTCTCCATATTGTTCAGGTCTCAGATCACGTGTCACCCCTTCTGAGAGGACTTCTGGTCAGGCAGCCTCAAGTGGCCTCCAAGATTCTCTCTATCACTTACCCTGTTTTAATTCTTTGCACACTGTTGATTATTTTCTAATATTTCTTGATTTTTATTTGTTGAGTGTTTTTCGCTCACTGGAAGGCAAGCTCTGAGAGATGGGGACTGTGTCTGCCTTGCTCACTGCTGTATCCCCAGTGCCTAGAACAGGCTGAGCCTCCTGGATTCTCAATAAGTATTTGGTGAATGACTAGATGAAACCACTTAACTTCTTTAGCCCTGAATTCCCAACTCTTAGAGAGTGGGTTATTAGGAAGTTGGAATTTTGTCTATTTTTTAGAATTAAAAAATTGATCATTGAGGTGGAGAAAAGTCCTCAATCTATGCCATTTCAGGGGCAACAAAAACCTTGTCTTTTTTAAAACAAAGGATTAAAAACTCACAGTTATCTCTTTTTTGTTGTTGATCCATTAAAATAGAAGCAAAGGACGGAAAACGTTATAAAACACAAAGAGAGAGAAGATGAGAGGAGAGAACAGATAAGAAGATGTCCACAGAAGTCTGGGAGCTGGAAGAGAGGGAGAGTGGTGGGGGTTCCCTGGGGCACCTGTCGGAAGAGGGCTGATGCTGTGAGCTGGCTCAGCCCAGAGCCCCACAGGCTCAGGACTTGGAGGCGCCAGAGACAGTGAGGGTGGAGCTGAGAATGCGGGATTGGCCACAAGTTTCTATGTGGGTGGCCGGACTCTCACGTCCCCACTTTCATCTGTTTCTTCCAGGCTCTACATCCCTCCTGCTGACCAGAAGGAGATGGGAAGTTGGAAGGGACAGGCTCAGGGCTCAGCATATCAGGCCGAGTGGAGAGAGCAGGCAAGGGGCAGATGGGAAACAGGAGGATTAAGCAAAGGTCTGAACTCTGAACAGTGGTACCTACAGTTGGGATTGCCCCTAGGGTGTATGGTGCCGACAAAAACATTTTTGTGAGGTCTTTGTCTATATTAACAGTTTGAACCACGTAAAATCAGCCTGTTAGCGCTACTCTGGTGACCCAATCTCCTGTGAGCTTGTGGTACAAATACTGTGCTGCCATCAGGATTCATCTGCTGGCCAGGCCACCTTCCTGGAACCATGGCTTGACCACAGGTCCCAGGATGACTCCATAAATGTGAATCCTGGGACTCCTTGGGGCATTTGGTCAACGCTTCGCATGGAGGAGAGGGTCAGAGAGCCCCCAAAGGGGAGAAACAGGGACTAGGGCTCATGCAGAATGTGATGTGGGCTTGGGACACCTTACCTGGACTGCACTTTGGCCCCTGCCAGTCCTTGGGGTACTAGTTCTCGCCAGGCCTGGGGGAACTTAAGGGGGAAATTTGCAAAGAAGGCCCTTCAAAGCATGGGGTTCCCATGAAGTGTGGGGCCCAGGCCAGGGGCCCTGCTTGCTTGGGTGTAAGGGCCGTCCTGCCTCCCCCACAGCCTCCTGGAATGCTGGTAGTCGGACACCACCTAGCTGGGATAGAGAAGACACTGAGTCATGTCAGAGAAAGGACCTGTAGATCCTTACACTTGAGGGTTCCTCAGTGAAATGGCTAGTTCCTCATCCAGTTGTCCTAGAATGAAGCCTAGCTCTCAAGGAAGCCCTGCGTACACACGCTGAGTCTCCATGCATATGCTTCCACTTCTCTCCTGAATGTGAACAGTCAGGGAACGTCAGGTGTCTGAGGAGAGCCTCCAACATGAATGACAAGCACCAGATAAAGCAAACTTTAAAGAAAACAAAGAGCAAAAAACAGAGGAAGTAGACCTAAATGAGAATATGGGGAGGAAAAGCTCTGAACTCCTCAGCGATGAGCTATTGCATCCATGAAATAAGTACAGGGTGCAATGAAGCGAAAGGGAACAACCAAAGAACAAGAATGAGGGCTTGGAAATGACAAAGGCAGTAGCTGAAATGACAAATTCCAGACGTTTGGAAGATAAAATCAGTGAAATCAACTAGGAAGTGGATCAAAAAAGAAAAGAGACAGGAAAGAAGAGAGAAGTGATAGGGCACTTGGAGGATCAACTCAAGAAGTCCAGCGCCTAACAAACAGGAGTTCTAGGAAAAAAGAAGAGAACTGAGAGGAGAGGAAATTATCAGAGGGATCCTAAGCACAGATGTGTTAGATGGGAAAGACCTGAGACTCCAGGTTGAAAGCACTGTGAGTGCTGAGCACAGTCAGTGAGGGAAAATCCACACCGAGGCACTCCATTTAACAAGTTCATAACATGAGTAACAAAGAGAAGAATTAGGGCCTTACACAGAAGAATGAGAGTCCGAGTGGCAGTACTGGATGCTAGAAGACAAGGAGGGAAAGACTTCCAGATTTGGCAGGAAAATGATTTTTAAGCAAATTTTCAGACAAGATTCAGGAGGTGTCTCTCTGTGCATCCTTCCTGAGAAGTGCTGGAAGCTGTGTTGCTGCAGAATGAGGAAGAGCATGGAACAAACAGACAGGGGCTTCAGCGCAGGAGAGGCTGAGGTGTGAGTTCTGGGGGGTAGATGGACAGGAGATCGAGATAGCAACCATTTGAGATTGGAGAAGAAGGAAAGATGGCGCCTGGGGGAAGGGGTGTCCCTTGGAAAAAAGATAACTGCTGTATTATCTGTTACAAGAAAAAGCACTTGGTTAAACACAGAGAAAGATTTACTACAAATCTTAGAGCAGTTTCGGGAAATTCAATATTCAACTTCAAGGTAAAACAAAAACTAACTCAGGAAAAAAATTATTTGAAAGGAAAAGCTATTATACTACCATATTTTACTGAATTTAAGATGCCATTAATTGTAAAAAAAAAAAAAAAAAAACTGTTCCCTGTTAAAAAAGCAACTTGTAAGTTGTGAGACATATCTGTATTTCAGAAATTATGTTATCAAGTTAAAAAATGTACTTCTTAGAATTAGTGGAAATAGCACCCTATTTGGCTTTGCAGTGAACTATATTTACACTGATTATTGATTTAACCACAAATTGTGATGTAAATATATTGTGAGGATGACAAGGGGAAAAGTATGAGTGTGTACCTGCATGGGAAATCTGAGTGTTAAATACTTACGTACCAAAAAAGAAAGGCAGTAATTAATGCCTAGAATTGATAAATCAAGAATTAGCAGCATTATTCAGACATAGATGTAACCATGTGAAGGAAGAGCTAAAGTAATTGAGAATGGTGACCTCTGGGCACTGGATGGGGTGGGGTAGGTTGGGTGAAGTGGCTTGGAGAATTGCTAATTGTTTTTTCTAACAAGCCTTTGGCATATAATGCATGATTGACATGTACATGTTACTTTGATATAAACAAAGGTAGAGGAAAATATACACATATAAGACCTTTTTGGAGCTTAAAAATGGGACGAAAGTTGGAGATTTGGGGCGCTGAAACCCGCTGTCTCTTTGAAATTTCTTATCTGGACATAAGGTTAAGACATGATCATATCCTGCTCAATTGGCCTCCAGAAAGACCAGGTCCCCTCCCATACTTACCCTCCCTCTTTCCCCAGAATGGAAGTGCAATCAAGGATGGTCCAGAGTCCTCTTATCTTTGCAGAAAGCTTTGAGTTTACAAACTGTTCCCACATATTTCAGCCATTTGATCCTTACCACAATCTTGTTGAGGTGTAACTGTCACCATTTCATGTGTGTAGAGACTGAGACTGGAGCGGCCACCACCGCCCACCCCACCCCGAGACAGCTCAGCCCTGCCCTGCTGCAGAGTCACAGAGGCTCTTCTCCTCTCTCGTGAAGTGTCACTGTCACCTAACGCCCTTCTGTCCCTATGATATTTTAGAGGAAAGAGGAAGAGGAGAGGAAGCGAGGAGAAGAGCAGATTCGCCTCCAGGAAGAGCAGAGGGCGAAGGAACTCTACTGGAGCCTGAAGCAGGCCCAGCTGCAGAGCCACGCCAGTGAGAGCGAGGAGCGCCAGTGGGAAGAACAGTGTGAGTAGCCCTCACTTCTCAGGGATGGGAGACCAGCCTGCCTGCCCCGCCTGCTCTCCTCCCACTTGTTGATTTGCTCAGTCATCATGCCAGTTCACTCACTCAGCCCAGAGGCTTTACCAGGGCCAACCACATGCGTGGTCCTGCTGAGGACCCAGAGGTAAAGGCTGTGTCCTCAGGAGCTTACATGCCTGTGGGAGAGATTTCTTATACTAAAAAATCAAACCCTACATTTACTGAGTTACCAGTAATCTCCTGGCTCTGTACTAAGCCCTGGGGACCCAGAGGTGAGAGACCATGGTGCTTATCTCGGAGGAGCTCACCTGCCGGGCAGGAGATAGACACACAGGCTAAGGGCTTTGAGAGAGAATGTACCACGTACCGATAGAGCACAAAGTGTCTGTGGTGGTGGTGCTCCAGCTGAGGTGTTGTAAAATGAGGCTTGATGGTGGCATGGGAATAACTGAGCTGAAGAGGCTGGAGAGGCCCTCTAGAGGGAGGACCCAGTGTGTGTAAAGGCATGGCCACAAAAGAGTGTGGTGTACTTAGGAAGCTGGAGAGGGATGGGTGGCCATAAAGCTCGGAGAGTGTTGGGGGTAGTGAGAAGTTAGGTGGGAAAGGGAAGGTGGAGCCAGGTTTGAAGGGTGGTGTTTTAATATGTACGCGGGATTTCCTTTAATCAGGGGTGGTGAGACATGCAGACACAGAAATGACTGTCACGCAGGAGGAGGTGTTTACTCATGAATTCCTAGAAGCAGGAAGCATGGGACACCACACAGGGCCACATGGGGCAGCACCAGGGTCAGTCAGGAGGCAGAGGGAGTGAGGGGAAAATGTGGGCAAGAGCCTTTACTGTGGTTTCTTTGGGAAAGGTAAGGTGAGGTGGGGAGAACAGGTTTAGGATTGGCTAGTTTGAATAATTTCAGAGGGCTCTGGGGTATAGGCGCTGCTCTAGCTGTCTGGCACCCAGCCCTCGGGTGATGAGGGCAGGTGGATAGTGACCCAGAGTGTGAGAACTAAATAAAGGAGGTGGTTGGGATGTGGGTGTTGGACTGGTTGCTTGTGTGTGGAAGGCACACTTGCAGGTGAGTCCTTTCCTGTCTTTAGGGGTTGGCTTGCCCTCTCTAGGATCAGCAAGGCCCCAGATGTTAAAACATCAAAAAATACAGAAAATAAAAAGGTGTGATTAATACAGGTGGACCATGGGAAACTTGTAAAGGCAAGTGACGTGATTCAGGCTGGGTTTGGGAGTGAGTGAGAGGAGGCTGTTGCCATGGGGCACTTTAGAGATGTGGAACTAGGGCCGTGGCAGGGAGAGCAGAGATGTGAGGTCCCTGCTACTGGCCAGGCCTCTGGTCCTCAGCACTTAACCATGTGCCAGATTCATTAAACAGACTTTAAAAAAAGTTAAGATATAATTCACATACCATAAAATTCATCCTTTTACAGTGTACAATTCAATGGTTTTTAGTGTACTCACAAAGTTTTGCAACCATCACCACTGTGTAATTCCAGAACGTTTTTATCACCACAAAAAGAAACTCTGTGTCCATTGACAGTTACTCCTCCCCCTGCCACACCCCTGGAAACCACTAATCTAATTTCTGTCTCTATGGATTTGCCTATTATGGACATTTCATATAAATAGAATCATACATTATGTGGGCTTTTATGTCTGGCTTCTTGCACTTAGAATAATGTTTTCAAGGTCCATCCCTGTTGTGGCATGGATCAGTGCTTCCTTCCTTTTTATGACTGAATAAAATTTTAGTGTATGCATTTGCTACATTTTTGTTTATCCATTCATCAGTTGGTGGACATTTGGCTTGTTTCCACTTTTTGGCTATTATGGATAATGTTGCTCTGAACATTTGTGTATGTTTTTGTGTGAACATATATTTTCAGTTCTCTTGGGTATACATCTAGGAGTAGAATTTCTGGGTCATATGGTAACTACATAAAGTTACATTTTGAGGAACAAAAGTGACTGCAACATTTACATTTCCACAAGGAATGTATGAGGGTCCCCATTTCTTCACATCCTTGTCAGCACTTGTTTTTGATTATAGCCATCCTGGTGAATGTGAAGTGATATCTCATTGTGATTTTGATTTGAATTTCCCTAATGACTAAAGATCTTGAGAATATTTTTATGTGAGATTTGGTCATTTGTATATCTTCTTTGGAGAATTATCTATTCAAATTCCTTGCTCATTTTTGAAAATTATTTTTTTTGTGGACTTGTAGGAGTTCTTTATATATTCTGGATATTAATCCCTTACAGATATATGATTTGTAAATATTTTATCCCATTCTGTGGGTTGTCTTTTCACTCTCTTTATAGTATCCTTTGAAGCACAAAATTTTCGATTTTGATGAAGTCTAATTTATCTATTTTTTCTCTGTTTGCTTGTACTTTATGTCATACCTAAGAAACCATTGCCTGCTCCAAGGTCACAAAGATTTACACCTATGTTTTTTCTAAGAGTTTTATAGTTTCAGCTCTTTCATTTATGTCTTTGATGCATTTTGAGTTAAGTAGGGTTCCAACTTAATTCTTTTGCATGTGGCTATCCAGATGTCCAAGCACCATTTTATTGAAAACATTATTTGGGTGGTCATGGTACCCTTAGATGAAAATCAGTTGACCAAAAATGTGTTTGTTTCTGGACCCTCATTCTAGTCCATTGATCTGTATGCCTGTTCTCATGCCAATACCACACAATCTTGATTGCTGTAGCTTTGTAGTAAGTTTTGAAATTGGGTAGTATGAGACCTCCAAGGTTCCTCTTCTCTTTCTGGATTGTTTTGGCTACTCTGGGTCCCTTGCATTTCCATATGAATTTTAGGATCAACTTGTCAATTTCTGCAATAAAGCTAACTGGGATTTTCTTTTTCTGTGAGGAAGATTGGCCCTGGGCTAACATCCATGCCCATCTTCCTCTACTTTATATGGGACACTGCCACAGCATGGCTTGACAAGCAGTGTGTCGGTCCACGCCTGGGATCCTAACCTGCGAGGCCGCCGCAGCAGAGCACGCGAACTTAACCCATACGCCACCGGGCCGGCCCCCCAACTGGGATATTGATAGTGATTGCGTTGAATCTGTAGCTTAACTTGAGGAGCATTGCTATCTTAACAATAGTTTTTCTTCTAATCCACAAGCATGGGATGTCTTTCCATTTATTTAAGTCTTACTTAATTTTTTCAATAATATTTTGTGGCTTTCAGTGTAGAAGTCCTGTACTTGTTTTGATAAATTTATTACTAATTATTTATTCTTTTTGATGCTATTGTAAATGGAATTGTTTTCTTAATCTCATTTTTGGGTTGTTCATTGCTAGTGTATAGAAATGCAATTGACTTTTATATATTGATCTTGTATCCTACAACCTTACTAAACTTGCTTATTAGCTCTAATAGATTTTTTGTGGATTACTTATGATTTTTTATCTACAAGATAATTTCATATGCAAACAGAGATAGTTTTACTTCTTCCTTTACAATCTAGATGCTTTTTATTTCTTTTTTTTACCTAATTGCTCTGGCTAGAACTTCCAATACTGTGTTGAATAGAAGTGATAAAAGCAGGCATCCTCGTTTTACTCCTGGTCTTAGGGGGAAAGCTTTCAGTTTTTCATACCTAAGTACCACTTAACCACTTACGTAAGATGTTAGCTGTTGGTTTTTGTAAATAACCTTTATCAGATTGAGGAAGTTCTGTTCGTTCCTAGACTGTTGAGTATTTTTACGATGAAAAGGTGTTAGATTTTGTCAAATGCTTTTACTGCCTCTATTAAGATGATCATGTGGTTTTTGTTCTTTATTCTATTAATATGGTATAATAGTTGGTTGAATTTCATATGTTGAACCAATCTTGCATTCCTGGCATAAATCCTATTTGTTCATAGGGTATAATCATTTTGTATGTTGCTGGATTTGGTTTGCTAATATTTTGTTGAGGATTTTTGCATCTGTATTCATAAGAGATATTGGTCTGTAGTTTTCTTTTGTTGTAAGGTTTTTGTCTGGTTGCAGTAGCAGGGTAATATTGGCCTCAAAGAATGAGTTGGGAAGTGTTCCTTCCTATTCTGTTTTTTGGGAAGATTTTGTGAAGGATTGGAATTAATTCTTGTTTAAACACATGGTAGAATTTGCTAGTGAAGCCATCTAGTCCTGGAATTTATTTGTGGGAAGTTTTTTTTATTACTAATTTAAGCTCCTCACTTGTTTTGAGACATTTTTCTTGAATAAATGTTCCCCAGATTGCTGCAAGCCTTTGGTTAATTTCTAATATTCTGCGAAAGTTGATTCTGACAATTTTTGTCAGTGTTCTCATTGCTTTTATGGAGGAGAGCATTTTAAGAGGTCCTTAATTCACCTTTTCCACTGACATCCTCTTAAACCTATATTTAATTACTTCAATGCCAGTCCTAAAACACCCAGAACTTGTAGGGGGCAGATTCAGAGACATAGTTGGTCTGCTGGCAAGGGGGATGAGTGGGCAGTATTTATTTTAATATTGGATTTTTTTTAATTCCATGTGACCTAGTATATAATCAAGTGCCTGAAGAGAAATAAGCCAAACAGAAATTGATAAAATGAGAAATTGATTAAAAATTTTTATTTAATTTGAATTTTATGTTTTACATTTTTTGCACCATGAGTCAGTTGCAATTTTTAAGATACCAGTCTTCTTCCTACTTCTCAGCACTGATGTAGGATGACCACTTGACCCCCAGCTCTTGGGCCATGGCAGCCTGATGGGTGTGCGCAGGCCCAGAGCAGACGTTATCCCGTATGTAGAAGCCTCAGAGCACCAGTGCCAGCATGGTACACACTTCCTCTGTCAACCAGCCCTTCTGTCTTCCTGTCCTGGGGACTTGATGTCATAGTCATAAAAGAGCTTGAAAACCAGGCTCTCCAAAGTCCCCTTAGGGCTGTTGTTTCCATACTTTGTTGTTTATGCTGAAGCCCATGGGTAAAGCAGGTGTGAGCA